TTAAGGGAGAGGGGAGGGAAGGGTATACAAGGAACCTAGGGGATAAGGGGAAAGAAGGAGCTCAAGAGAGGTAGGACCATAGGAGAAGGGTATTATTAAAGGAGAAAGGGAGGAAATGGGGGCACCTTAAGTAGGGAAATCATGATGGAGGTGTTAGACAATGCGAGAGATAAATAATGCCTAGCTAGTTTTAAAAACCAGAGGGAACCATATTAGTCGAGCAACCTACTGACAAATTATACATAGCAGATCAAGAAATATGTGACTAGGTAAGGTTTATCTGAGAACAACTGGTCTTTGCCCAAGATTTACCTACCTGGCACACAGTAATTAAAAGTACCAGACTGGTGGAACTAACCTTCTTGGATGTTTAACAGACATACTTTGAGGCCTGTACTAATTTGTTCAGAGGGACATAAAGGACAGTGTTTGCTTCTTGCCCTCCTAGGTCAACTGAAGTTCTATATGAGCATCTCCCAAAATGTCCTGTAATTGTGGTGGGTCACCTGTCCTCTTGATCAAGGAGGCTGAGGAGACCCCACGAGATGGACATGAACCAGTGTCCAGTCTATAAAGAAGAGGGTCAACACAGAGGAAACATTTCCTCCATGCTTTGAAGCGAAGCCAGCCGTGGTCAAGCAGGACCTTTGACTTATCTACACATAGGTGGAACTGGTAAAAGAAAGGAGCCAGAGGCTCCTCCCAAGCCCATGTGACCCCTGAGGAACAGATCCTAAAACGACCTTAAGAGTAAAAATAAATCGGTTTATCTGTATTAAAGGGACCAATATAACTTTTTAAGAGTCCATATGTATAGCTAAAGGCTACATAGAAAACAACAATGCCAGATAGGAGATACCTTCTTTTGAGTTTTTTGGCCTGGGTCCCTCACATAACAAGCAACAATGCCAGATAGGAGATACCTTCTTTTGAGTTGTTAAGGAGTATTGACAACTGATTGTGCTAGAAGAGGAACAGCTGACCCTCCTAAAACAAACACCTCTAGATAGGCTGACTAGATTCACCAGAAGGGCAAGTAGTGGGGATTGGCTGGGGTGCTGACAACAACGCAGACAGTAGCAGGGATACCAGAGCATAAGGGCTCTAGTCGGGGGAGGGAGGCTATAGGAGGGTGCCATCTGGGAAGTGGGTGTATAGTCGAATAAGACGAATAAGCTGACTAGGTTCACCAGATGGACAAGTAGTGGGGAATGGCTGGGGGTCCCGACCATACAGCAGATGGTAGCAGGGATATCAGAGTGTAAAGACTCTAGTGGGAGGAAGGAGGCTATGGGAGGGTGCCATCTGGGAAGTGAGATAGTTGAATATAGTTGAATAAGATGGTTTGGGATGTTCTGTGTGATACACACACACACACACACACACAAATCAACAAATTTAAAAATGTATTATATTTGAGGAGGAAGTATCACACACACACACACACACACACAAATCAACAAATTTTAAGACATGTATTATATTTGAGGAGGGAGCATGGAAATGTATGTCATGCTAATTGGTAGAGGTGATAAACATTACCAGTGAAATCTACCCAATGTCTTTCATTAATTAGTAGAGGTGATGAACATTACCATTGAAATCTACCCGATGACTTTATGGACATACAGAGGCACCAAGGATCCAAGTGCAAATGATTATGACTAGTAATAAGCAGATACATACAGATTAGAGATGCATGCGCCAACATCTCAATGTTAGTAGCAAAAACAGTGAGTCTTTCTGTAAGAAACAATATATTTTAGAATGAAATGATGATCTTTTCTGAGGGTTAAAAATTTATTCAATTTTATGTCTTACAGGGTTTATACTGAGTTCAATATTGTATAACTGTATTGATTCAATAGTGAACCTCGAAATTTTATAGCCACTTTTGAAGGAGCTGTGTCTTTGCTCTGGAAACTGTTATTGGGCATGTTAAAGCTGTAATGATATGCTTCTTCTAAAAAATATATATTTAAAAAAATAAGGTGGAGAGTGACTAAGGAAGACACTCAACACTGACCTCGAGCCTCCACACACACCAGCATGTATACATGTGTGCAAACACATAGAGAGAGAGAGAGAGAGAGAGAAAGAGAGAGAGAAAGAGAGAATAAAGTAGTTGATAAGAAGAAAGAAGACTTTAGATTCCAGGTACCCTTCTATGTATTATGTATTTTGTGTCATGCCAGTATTTATATCCATCCACAGGAAAAATGAAACTATAGTAAATCTTCAAAAAATATTTTGTTTTAATTTGAGACATCTAAGTATTTTTGCAGGTCCCAGTGTGCTTTGTGTCTTTTTAATTTACACTGTGAATGAATGTTTGATGGTGGGAAGAACACTTGTTGATTAAAATTTAGCATAACCTGAATTCTTTTGTTCATCTACACTGGAGGTAGGGAGGAGGGTGGAAGTCAGAGATCCTTAAACACAGCTTATGTTCTTGCCCTCATAATCTAATTGATATTTTAAGAAAATCCCTGCTTTCCTGAACTCACATGTCCAATGGGTTCTACCTACCAGTTCTGGCCAGGCCATGTGGAATCATAAAGAATAAATTTGAGCTCCTTTGTCCTGTCATGTCTTCATATATTAAAATTTTAACCTTAACAGTCAGTAAAGTTTTTTTTCTAATCAAAATGTTTTATTCTTTTATCTTTTAAAAGTTTGAATAAATATTATTTTCTTCTCAGATTAGTTCTTAACTTTTGGGGGAAACATACCCTCTCAATAAAAATTTGGCATGTACTTCTGTACCATATATTCTAAGATACAGCCATTTTCCCCAACCCTTCCCTGACTCAGGAATCATAGTTGGAGGCAATCTTATGGGTAGACTATGAGGTAAGACGATGTGGGACCTTCATTATAAGAATTCTTCTTCCATAAATATGAAGCCAAATTATATATTGACTAAACTAAGTAAATCAAGTAAATCGTATCCCTCCCATGTGGTCTCTGGTCAAACCCCTTCCCTGAGAATTCTTGCACTAAGATAATTGCAGCTCAGAGAGCATGACCTCCCTCCCCTGACAGTGAATTTATCCTTGGTGTGTTTTCAGTGAATAAGAAACACCTAACTTAATGTATGCCATTTTCTCTCTCCAAATTTAGGCAGCCTTGTCCAAGCAGGCATAAGATTTCTCTTCTGTGTACTAAGCAAGGTGAGAACAGTGGTGGATCATGGAATATGACGTTAATTAAACTGGGTTGACTCCTGGAAAGCATGATCACTTGTGATAACAAAAGCTCAGTATCTCCCTACGCTTGATGTTGAATCACAGCTATGACTTCTGTTCTTGTTAGATTGTGGTCGCCGCCCGGCTGCCCGAATGAACAAAAGGATCCTTGGGGGTCGGACAAGTCGTCCTGGGAGGTGGCCATGGCAGTGTTCTCTGCAGAGTGAACCCAGTGGACATATTTGCGGCTGTGTCCTCATCGCCAAGAAGTGGGTTCTGACAGTTGCGCACTGCTTTGAGGGGTAAGCTGCGCCCTTTCATGTTGGTTTCTCATGGATCTGATCACTTGTCACTTGGGAATTCTCAGTGGCATATGTAACCCTTGAAGCCACTTCAGTGCAAATATTACAGCTGCTCTCCTTCCCAGGCCTTTATCTGTGGAGATCCTTCTCCTTTGTCATCTTCTTATGTGATGCTCACTGATGGGCAATGACTGTGGAACTGCTATGATGTACTAAAAAGGGCGGAAAAAGAAGCTCAGAAGATTGACTCCCCAGACAGATTTAGCCTCTGTTCTGGACCTCTTAAATGCATTCTACACACATGAATTTAAATAGAAATGACTTATTTAAAAGCCACCTGAGGTTCAGATGAACCACTAGTAGGTAGTTTGAGAAACACAGTTAAAGGTACTGTGTATTAGGTTTCTCCAAGAAACAGAACCACTCTGCATTCCAACAGTCTCGTCCTCACAAGCTTGGTGTGGGCATGAAGTGAGATGGGCTATGGAAAGCCTTAAGAACCATGCACAAAAATTCAATAAAAATATACACTGAGAAAAAAATTAAAGAAAGAACCATGTTTGACAGCAGCTGGTAATACCTTGATAAAGGTACATATGTCTTTTAAAACGTTGTGCATTTTCCCCTAGCATTGTGGTCTGTTTTGCCAACATTATTTAGCTCCTTCATTTCAGTTACTTCCTCATCATCCTGAAGGTGATCCCTGTTAACAACCTGATGACTGTTCCTCCATGGCTCTAAACACATTCATGATTCACAAGGTGTCATTATTTTTATAATCTGAAATCACACTTTTTACTGGTTGCTTTTCTCTTTTGGTGATATGCGATGGGCATGCCTCTAGGTCAATTCACATAGGTCCAGCTCGATCTTTTTGGATGCTAAATCTTCTTCTGAAGTGTAGATTCATCATGAGTCTTTTCTACTAGTATCCAGCTGGTGAATATTTTAGTTAGTTTCAGTTTGCTGTTAGGTTAACAATGCTGAAAAGCTCCTCTCATGCGGTGCTACTTTTACTGTTTCTAGAGGAGATCAAACATATATGCAGCTCCACATGAAGATTATAGTGATGGATGCTTGCTTTGTTCCTTGATGAGTTTAGTAAACAGACATATTTAAACATGTACTTAAAATACAGTGCAACAAGTGATAGAATGCAATGGAAATGCGTGTGTTAGTTATTTGATTGCTCTCTTGGGGAAATAATATATAAAAATCAAACCAGTGCCTCTGCTTGAGAACTTTCTTTGAGACCCAGCATGGTTGGAAGAGTCTGTGGAGTATGTCAAGAAGCACACTGTGATGACGTTGCTCTGGAAGAGGACAGATGTTTCCAGATGTCTTTTCTAGTTCTGATTTGCAATTCTCAGTAAACAGAATATTATGCTAGCAAAAGAATATCCATCAAAAGGTGATTACCTAAGTGAGTCCAACAGGTTTTTAAGGGAGCACCACTCCTAATGTGCTGATTAATCCAAGCTCACAGCTGCTCTTTTCCTCTCCATGCGTATCAAAGTTTTCTCATGCACTGGAGGTTCTATACGGCTAAGAAGGAAGCTTGAAATAAGAAAGAAGTCTGTTTATAATTAATGAAATGGATATGATATCAAAGGTCTTGAAGAAATTTAACAGAACACAGAATTTGCCAGAGCTGTCAAGAGGAGCCCGAATATGCATACGAGGTTAGAGACTGGCCAACTTCAAACAAGCCCTCGCTTGACTGTGTACTCAGAAACCCAATTCTGTTTTATGGTCTCTCCAGTGGCACTGCAGGCATTTCAGAATTTTTAATTGTAATACATATTCTCTGCTGGGGCCATCCATTGCTGCAATTATTTGGATTTATTTCATATCCGGACCCTGAACTTTGGCAAGGCCCAGCATGACCCATCTGTATGCTCTCTCAGCCTGCCTGTCTCTTTTAATTATATTGGTTGGGAACAATGATAATTTGTTTTGCTCTTCTGTAGAGAGGAATTTAAAAGCACCAGATGAAAATTAAAAGCATGGGATACCAGCTTGAGCCCGATATGCCCCAATACCAATTCATCTTCAAAGGTTCCAAGAAAGAAAGGCTTTGATGTTCTGTGGTAATTTAACAGGCAGTTTTCCTCCTTTCCTTCACCTCTGAGAGACCGAAGGCTGAACTTCCCAGGCTGGCCCATAGTGAGTAATGGTCAAGGACATAATTCCTTTCCAGGGAACCTGCAGAAGAAGCTGCCATTCTGTTACGGAACCACAGTCTTTAACCTTGTCGTGTCAAGCATGTCCTGATTGCTACCACACCAGCTCTTCAGTCCAACAGGATTTTTGGCTGTGGGTCTGCATTTCTGCCCCAATTACCTAGCTTCTTTCTTCTCTTACCTAACATGGTCTTCTGGGAGTTGACAAGTCCTTCAACTCTTTCATTCCTGGATCATTTTGCCAGACACACTAAGAAGACTTCCAAAGCGAATAGCACATTTTGTAATCTTTTTATTCATGCTCTTAAGAACATTAGACAAAATGAAAATTAGTGCTATGTCTGACTTTCAACATCAATTGATCTTTAACAGCCCTTGCTAATCTTTTTTTCTGGAAAGCTCCTTTTCTCGGTCTCCACAGAACAAATCATGTGCTTGCTTGCTCTGTTGCCCTGACTTGACATTTTGTTTTGTTTTTACTTTACTCAGAAAAGCAATTACTAAGGACTGTGTTGTATCCTTTGGGTTGCCTCTTCGTCTTGGTGCTTACGAACTAGGCCAGTCCTTCACAATTTGGTTTTCCATTCCATTAGGATTTAATCCATTCCTATCAGTCAAAATGCCTATGAACAGAGATTCCGGACTTTGGGTCCATGCTTCCCCTGTGTACTAATCTTCAGCATTATTGGTGCATGGGTCGTTGTGATTTTGGGACTCATGTGGTGACTGTGACTTGTCTCCAAGCACCCCACTGCTCTGCCCCCTATCAGGGTATTTTTATCTTCCACTCTTCAGTTAAAAAAAAAAAGGCTAATAGTTGGCCTAAACTATAGACCAATTCCCATAGTTTCTGGGACTTCTAGGAGCTAAGAGATTCCTTTCCACCCTTAACTTTTGATTAACAGAAAACTTTAGACAAATTAAATTTAGCAAAGGTCAATCAAGCAAAGAGTGGCTGTGTCTTGGGCAGCCCTAGAGCCAGAAGTGCTTGAGGCTGATTGGTCCCAGCGTTGCCACCCTCTCCTATTCATGCTCGGTGCTGCACCTACAGCAGAAAAGCTGATCATTGTTGGAAAATATCTATACACCCAGGAGCTAACTGAGCTCATGTCGAATGTATGACCGTGGACCTCAGATGAACATCTAACACAACGGACAGTTTCATAGCAAAGTCTGCTTCTTACCGTGAGAGGAAATCATTTGACAGCTTTCCCTCTCTCAACAAATCTCCATCACCTTCTTCTGATCTCATCTGATGGATGATAGAGCTGACATCATATCTTTTACTTTGTCTTCCGATTCCAAAAATGTCTTGTATCTTTGGTCACATCCTCTAGTCTGCCTTGAGGTCGATGTGCCCCTTCTCCTGTTTCAGAACAGTTATGCCCCTCTTAGCTTTTCAGAGCCTTTCCTCCTAAAAGCATCATTTCTACTCTGCACTGGTTTCTCCCTGGAAGGTGGATCATCCCCTCACACCTGTGCCTTGACATGGCTTAAACCGCTTCCCTCCACTTACTTCTGTATTTACCTATTGTTCCATTTGGGCTGGCTTATGGGGAGCTCCTAAAAATGTTTGCTGCCATCACTTTCTCCACATTGCCACATCTCATTTTCTCCCTAGCCTGTGATAGTTGGGCTGTCATCAAGACTGGTACAGAAATGACACAATTTTTTTTTTTTTATTGAGCGTTCGTACATTCCATACAACAGTTCTTAATCAAATTTAGACTCCCTCCCCCATCCGTTCTCCCCCTCCCCCCCACCACTGGACCTCATGTATTCCGCCATATGTGTTAAGTCCTCTCCAGTCAAGCATTTGTACCCAGATGTCCTTCTGCACAAATTCATCTACTGGAGTCTAGTCAGAAATGACAGTTAACCAGAATTTTGTGATGACTTTCTTCTTGCTGATCCAAAGGTGAATTTTCAGTTTTCAGCTCACTAGAGCCCTCCATTATCTGATCATTGCACCCTTCTTGGAGTAACGTGTCCACTTTTCTTCTAGAATAACAAAAGATCTTTTGGCTTTCATTTTATTTTGATTTTCCTTCTCTTGTTATTAGGCTACTGAATACTCCAGAGCCAGTGCATGACGTTTTTATGTCCTCAGTCACTGATCCAAATACATGGTTTTTAAAAACATTTTTCCATATTTGAGAAAAAATGATATTACCATACTTAAATATCAAATATTATTAGAATTTCAAATTTATATTTCCTCCTATCCTAGCTTTCCTCCCAAGTATCATTACTGTCTGCTTTACACATATATGTTTTACTGCTTACATAAGATGTCCATTTAAATGTATAATAAACACCCTACTTTACATGGCCAAAATAAAATTATTGGCTCCTCCCATCTCTCAGTGCCCAGATAACTACTTCACAAATTCCTCATCTTAATGATATTTGTTAGCATCCTCTTGGATTTTCTTAATCATTATACCTTCAGCTCTTTAGCAGTTGGGGCTATAGTATTCTGAAACTAAGAACGTCAACTTATCTACAGAGGGTCATTGATCTCTTACCAACTCTTCTCATATTTTGAACTATACATCAGTTCAGTATTTCAGTGTGTTAAGTACACATACATATTTAACCATATGGAAGATGAATTTTATGGCTATTATCCGCAGATCATTCTCCCTGACTGGAGAAGGAGGAGGCAGGGGGAGTTGTTAATAGTTCTGCTTGCTTGTCTTCTGAGATTAAATTATCTGCAATAACGTGTACTCCATTTCTTGTATATAATTTCACTGAGGAGTCATTTTAATGTTCTACATTTTTCTTTTGAAACAAGCTCTCGCTCATTTTATG